ACTCCTCCCTCCCGCCCCCCCAAGAGGAGTATTGAAGTTGGAGAGGACACTGCAGTGTGTGGAAGGCAGGTGATCCAGAGCAGGTGTGCTGACCTGGGAGAGAGCCTGGGCCCACCCCTCCTCCCCCTTACCAGCCTTGTGCCCTTGGCATCACCTCTTGAGCACGTTTTCTTAACCGGCCTGTAGGGTAAACGCAGCCCCACCTTCACTTGGGTGGTGGCGAGGGCTGCACAAAAAGCCACTGAGAAATCTTCTTGCCAATGTTCCAGCATATCCAGGGCTAAGAAATCGCTAGTGTCAGGACTAGTGTGGAAAGGCTGCCAGTTTGAGCCTGGAGTCGGTCCCTCAGCACTAGAGATTCACTTGCTTGAGGGACGTGGACAATGTCGAGTCAGAAGGACTTCACTTTGGCAAGATGGATGGGCCTTGCTTGTCGTGTGGCAGGCGCAGGGCCAGGCTTTGCACTGGGAGGCTTCCTGTTGCTCTCTTTAATGGCCTCCCTCTTCCTCCTGCCACATGCTTGATTCTCCTCAGCACTTATGGGAGAAAGGGAGAGGGAACACGAGAAGGTGGCCATTGAGGTCCCTGTCTGGCACCTCGCTATGTTAGGAAGGAGGCTGGCATTCCTGGGGCAGTCTGTGAATTACTATCAAAGCAGGCTCAGTGAACCCCACCCTGCCCCTCCCTCCCCCAAGGAAGAGCGAGAGGAAGCAACCCTCCTGTTGCTCAGCAGATAGGAAGGAGAGGGGCATCCCGGCAGACGGTGGCCTTGCCAGCCCCATTTCCTGCCTCCAGCCAGGAGGGCGGGTGAGACTGGCTCTTAGGTGAAGGTGCTGCCATTCGAGTGCCTAATTAAAACAAACACAGCTGTGTTTGTGTCTTGTGGCACAGAGGGGAGACCTGTGCTGAGCTCGCACCTCAAAGGGGTGTGATGATTTTAAGTGAGACAGCCGTGCACATGCTGCTCATGTTCTCCTGTGTACCCACTCATCCTCCTGGCAGCTTACTGTTCTTAAGTAAACTTTTTCTTGAAACTTAACAGGAAAGGATTTTGAAACTCATGGCAGAGACAAAGTGTGCCCTTGAGGTTGAACCCTTAAAATAAATCTTGGGTTCAGAGAAATGAAGCTGATAATGGCCCCACATAATTCATTTCTGTGGGTTTTTTTAGTCATTTCCTAACAGACAAATGTTCCCAAAACAAGTGTTTTTATCAAATCACTCTCAAGTCAAAAAATGTACCCAGTTTCACACTTGCTGGCCTGCCAGCGAAAGCTCTCTGCGTGCAGCTCGTCCCTGCCCATCTTCGCAGCTTCCCCTTTCACTGGTTTTCTGGAAGTCAGACACGCCTCCAGGTGCTCTTCACGGGGTTTCTTCACTGAGTGAGGGAGGCACTGTCATCAGCCCCTTTTATAGACAAGGAGACTGACACTCATATGTCACTTCCCCGAGGTCACATAGCTGATTGGTGTTGGAGGTAGGATTTGTACCCAGGACCACGTGGGTCAGGACTCCCTGGCAAGCCCTCTCTGCAGCTCCCTGGCTGGCTCTCCCAGCGGCTGTTTCTGTTCCATCTGTTCTTCGAAGTCTAGCTTGAGCCAGATTTCTCGAGCGCTTCCCCAGACTGTGACCCTCTGGGCACGTCAGCTGCTGCAGAGGTTCTTAACTCAGAAGCCACAGGTTTCCTAAAGAATACACGGGTTTGGGGAATCCGCAAACCTCCAGGCTCAGGCAGACTTGCTCATGGCTTATTTGTGGGGAGAAGGTCCAGCACTTTCAAAGGAGCCTGTGGACCCCCATCCACCCACCCCCACAATCCTCAGTTGTGGGACGGCTGCCATTCTTCATGGGACAATGCTGCTGTGGGATCTAAGCCCTGGGGTCCTAGAGATAGCCTTCAGTTCCAAGAAGCCTCCATTGGGATATCTTCCCACACTCAGACAAACCTGTCTTGGCAACCTGACTCCAGGTGGGCTCTGGACCCTTTTGCCTCACTGATCCCAGCTGGCTCTCCCAGCCAAGATGGCCCAGACCCACTCAGGGAGGGACAGCCAGTACCCCAGGGAGCACTTGGTCCCCGCTCAACCTCTCAGGGTCTCAGATTCCTCATCCTTGAAATGGGGTGATCACAGCCCCTGCTTCAGGTTTGTGGGGGCCAACTGAAGCAGGCCTGGTGTGGATTAAGCCTTTCATTTGAGTGAGCTTGTTTTCATGCCCCTAGTCCATTAGGATTTCATGATGGGCATAGTGTGGGCAGTGGAAGGAAGGGGGCGTGTAGACCTTTTGATGGACTGCATGAGAATCCCTCACTGTTTCCATCAGCTCCTCCAATAGAGAGATGTGTGGAGGGTCCCTGTGGCTCTAGGAAAAGGACAGAGCCCTGGTTTTGTGACAGACTCCCTCCCTAGACAGTCTGTTGGCGTGGGTGAGTAGCAGCACTCACCCGTCTGGTCAGGAAGCAAGCAGGCTTTCTGCGTTGAGGTGCCCGTCTCCAGGGGCAACCAGATGAACAAAGAATGGTGTTCTTTATGGTGGAATCTCTCTGGATGGTTGAGTCTCCGGTGGTGGGGGCCAGGAAGCTCCAGGTGCACAGTGCTCCTCTTCAGTGGGGGCCTGGGACCCAGAGATAGGCCTAACCCCTGGGCCTGTGCCACTTCCAGGTGTACCTCCTGGGTCACAGGCTCTGGAGGAAAGACTAGGGTTGGCCTTCTTAAAACCTTCCCTCAGGAAGGTCCCACCAGTACACTCTTAGGTGGCACCAGAACACCCCTGCCGTGGCCATGGAAGTCTTTGGTTTTTTCTTTCCTCAGAAATCAATGACCGGGAGCAGAAGTTGCATGCCCTGAAGGAGGTACTCAAGAAATTTCCAAAGGAAAACCATGAAGTCTTCAAATACGTCATCTCTCATCTGAACAAGTATGTGGCAGGGCTTGCTGTTTGGTCTTTTCTCCTGCAGGAATCACCAGTCAGTTGGCAGCAGAATGGGGCTGAGCAGGGCTCCGTCCTCAACCTGGTGACTGGCCCGCCATCCCCTTGGTGAGGCACTTCTGGCTCAGGCCCACCCTGGTTCTGTCTGAGAGAGGCCCACGTGGCCCCAAGGTTGCCGAAGTCCCCTCTCCAGTGTTTTTGTCTCCTTTGTGTGTGATGAAACACCAACATAGGCGCACTGGGGAAAAGAGCAACCCCCAGTCATTTGAGTGCAGGGGCTGTGGTCAGGAAGCCTGGTAAAGGCATATGTCCCAAATTTATTCACACGGAAGAGATCTGTTGTCCAGGCAAACCTAGTTTTCATCTTGGCACAGTGGTGGTTTACGGAGCTCTGGCTTGGGATACACACACTCCCTGTATCTGCACAGCCATAGCATTGTCACCCACTTTGGTGGTCTGGGCAAGAGTCCCTGAGGTGGCCCATTCACTCTCAAAGCTTATGGGGGACCTCTCTTGAGCCAGCGCCTCAGAGCCACTCCTCGGAGACTTGCCATGTGGGGATACTGGAGCAGGGCATGGGGCATAGAGAACTGTGCTTGGGCCTTTCCTGTTCTCATGCTGTGGATGGGCAGGCAGGGAGGGCAGCCAGGATGACAATGACCATAAGCGCACACATGAGATGGGGCAGAGCATAGAGCGTCAACTAGGGCCCACTGTCCTGCTGAGCTCTGACCATGAGTTTGGTGTCGCCTACAGAGTCAGCCACAACAACAAAGTGAATCTCATGACTAGTGAGAATCTCTCCATCTGCTTCTGGCCCACCTTGATGAGGCCCGACTTCAGCACCATGGACGCACTCACGGCCACGCGGACCTACCAGACAATCATCGAGCTCTTCATCCAGCAGTGCCCTTTCTTCTTCTACAATCGGCCCATCAGCGAGCCTCCCGGTGCCACGCCCAGCTCCCCCTCTGCCGTGGCTTCCACCATGCCCTTCCTCACCTCCACACCCATCACCAGCCAACCGTCACCCCCCCAGTCGCCTCCGCCCACCCCCCAGTCCCCAATGCAGCCACTGCTCCCCTCCCAGCTTCAAGCTGAGCACACGCTGTGAGTCACCAAGGCCTGGGGCAGAGGAGGCTGTCTTCTCTTCGGTGGGGTGGCATTTGGCCTTGAACACAACCAGGTCCACTGGGGAAGGGTGGGGAGGGTATCCCCTCTCCCCTGTCACCTTCTCAAGACCTCAGTGGTAGCACCAGCCAACAGTCCACCATAGGCTGGGCTCTCAGGTGCCCCGAGCCTAGGACTCAGACCTGGGGCTGACTAGGCAGTGGCTGGGGTGCCCTGCCCTTCGACATGGACCCCTTTGAGGACTGAACTGGTTAGGCAACAGCCCTGGTCCACACAGTCACCTGCCTGCCTGTGCGCTGGCCTCAGGGCCCGCCCACTGCTTAGACAGAGCCCTGGCGTTTGCCAGCAGAAGGAGGAGGTTCCTAGATGCAGGCCGCCCCAGGGCAGTGCTAGCAACCCCCGAGGAGAACACTTCCCATCTGTCTCTTCCCACCTTCCATATCTGCACCCCCACCCCCAGTTGGGGGTACAGCTGTCTAGCCACCTCCTTGGGAACATGTAGGCCAGGGCTCTGCCGCCCCAAGGTACAGTGCTGAGGGCATCGGCCCGGCAATCAGGACAGAGGGAGGTAGCTTTGTGCCTGGACCAAGAGAGAGCAACTTTCCCCTCCGGCCCTCACGCCCTTCCCCTCACAGGCTTTGGGATACATTCCCTTTGCAGCAAAGGAACACTGGAAGAAAAATGGAAAAATTCATCCAATTTTAAAAAAGAAAAAGGAAGAAACTACCAGAAGAAAACTGCAGACCTCAAGATTCAGCTCTCCTGCCACCTCTTGGAGAGGCAAACAGCTGGAAGGTGGCCCTTGTCTTGTGACAGCAAACCGAGGCCCAGGGCTGGTTGCCTGAGAGCCTATTGGGGTCCCATTTACATTCTGTCACCATACCCTCCTTTCCCCAGAAGATGGTTTGAGCCCTTGGTGGGCAGAGCTGGGGAGACCAGCAGACCAACCTGGAACTTGGTCTGCCTTTGAACACATTACAGTACTATAGAAACACTACTTTGTGTGTGTGTGCGAGTGTGTGTGTGTGTGTGTGTGTGTGTGTGTGTGTGTGTGCATGAGTGGGGGGGCTGGTACGCCTGTGAGGGAGGGGACAGCTGAGGGTGCAGAGTTCACTTGGGTTTAGTGTGTTTGGTGTTGAAGTGGAATCATTTTCGTCCTGGGCCATAGAATGCTGCCATCAGCGCTGTTTGTGGGAAGTGGGCGGGGTATCTGCCCACACATGTTCATGCTCCCAGGGCCAGCAGGCCTGAGGAGCCACAGGCACAAAGGCCATCAGAGTCACAGAGCACTGTGCCTGCCTGTCACACCACCACCACCACCCTGTCCCATGGCCTTCCCTCAGCTTCCTGGCCCCTGGCCTCTGGGAGAACCCTTCTCGCACCCCACCTCCGCCCCACAGCACAGCAGCCCCGCTAAAGCTGCTGCCCACATGGCTGCCCCCACTCCTGGTGGCTCAGCCATGGCCTTGACAGTGGAGAAGCCTGACACTAAGGTACCCGGGGTGGGCAGTAGGTCCCCGCATGCCACCCAGCCCTCCGGGTCTCTTTGCACTTTAAGCAGTACCTGTGGTATATTCAAGGATGCCCTGGGTGACCTCAGCTGGGTAGCCTGACAAAGGGGGTGCCTTCAAACAATCTCCAGTCACCCCCAGCCCCGAACACTTCTGTTGGTTGTGGAGGGCAGGGCAGGCCCTTTGCTCACCGATGTCCCCCTCTGGATAAGCTGGATTCTTACAGTTCTTGTTCTTGTATGGCAAACTATGGTGCTTGGGAAAACTAAATGAGTCCTGCAAGTTTTAACCCCTCCAAGAACATAAGTCAAAGGGCAAACCCAAGGTACAGGAATGTTTTATGTAAACGTTGGATGACGATGTTTCCTCTGGCAGAGGACGCTGTGCCGATGCTTTAGGTTGGTAGGCTGGAAGACAGTGTTTGTGTTTAGTTTTGACCCGGTCAGCAAACATACACACACACACACCCGGGCAAGTGCAGGATTTGCTCCATGAAATCAATGTCTCCCTTTTTCTAGGTCATGCTCACCTACTCTGTCAGCCCTTCAAGGTATGGGATGCAGTTAAAGGGAAACCATGAGGGGGACCTGAAGCCACTGTCCTTGTGTGAACTCACAAAAGTAGCTTGGTTCCCTCCCATTGCCCAGTCTATACTGCCACCTCCTTTGTGTGTGCGTGTGCACAGACACCCACACACACCCTACTCCGCCACCTGCAACCTCTGCTCTGCGCTATGAACTCACAAGCCCCCAGCGCTCCCACCTTCCCACACCACCCCATCCCTGCTTCTGCCCTGCAGGACCCCTTCACATTTGCCTCTGTCCAGCCAGGGCTTTGGAGTGTGCAGGCGGGGATTGGTATCTCATGCCCCATCAGAGCCGCAGTGGGTAGGGAGCTCCAGGGGCTTCCTTGGTTTCTGTTGCTCTGCTAACCCTTGAGCTTCTCTTTTCTGCTTCTCCAGGCTGACTTGGGCTACAGGACATTTCTTTGTGGTTGAGTTGGCACTGCCACTAGCAGCACTACTGAGCTCTGGGCCTCAGCTTCCAGTCGGATGTCTGCATTCAGACCAAATGGGCACTCAGATGGGACCCACAAGAGAGAGCGTGTGTTGGGACACTGCTTTAAATGGATTGCAACCCACGGCTCAGAACTGAGGGAATGGCAGGCAGGAATTAGCCTTGGCCAAAAGGGACCCGCCAGGGTATGGGACTGGCTCCATGTCCCCAAGCAGAACAGTCACATGCCCAGCAGCTCTCTCCAGCTAATATTCCTTTTAAGTCCACAAGCATGTAGAACACTGTTCAGGGAGTGGGCAGCCGTTGGTTGTGGCTGGCTGTCTCTGGGTCTGTGGCAGTGGTGCTGCCAGAGGGAAGGAGGTGGTCACAGGAGGGTGGTGTGGCTCAGTTCTTGGCTGTATTGCACATCAGATATTAGCATCTGTCAAGTCAGGCTGCCCATCACTTGACATTTTGAGGGGGAAGCTGAGAAGTGCGCAGTGCCCTTTCTGCGCTCTCTGCAACCCACCACCGCCTTGTTCTCCTTAAGACAGGAAGCATGCTTCTGGGAGATTCTTCTAGCAGAGTGTGTGTCTGTGCCAGGGTGGACAGTGGGTGACGTCATAAGAGTAGCATGCTGGCCAGAGGACCCAAGCAATTGCCTTTCCCTGTGCCTGTGCCTCAGCTCAGGGGGTGGGGGCTGGAGGGAGACCTTCCCCTAGGCCATCGGTGTTTCAGCCTCAGCCCCAAAACTTGAATACAAGCTGCAGCATTTGTAATATAAAGTCATCTCCATCCTCAACCCTGCCCATCCTCTCTTGTGAAAACACTGCTT